CTTGGTACTATCGCTTTCCACCATTGAGCAGCGTTATTGCGTTACTACTTACCTATTTCGTACAGATTCTATCTGTTCTCTAGTTATGCCGCGTGTAAACTTTCCTTCCTGGGTGTTTCCACGGTACAAACTGTGATTTACACGATGCATGCGTTTTCTTTCGCTGCGCAAACGGTTGGTCGCGTCACGACCTGTCCGTTTGTATTCCTTGACTTGGGATGCCCGCGTGCAATTTCCCACAGGCATTTCCCGTCCCCCCCCGTTTTTTTTCCAGCTGTGCTGGCTGGCTCGCCTCCAGTAACTATGGCTTGATTCTTGCTCTTTGAGCAGCAGTCGGCTGCTATTGGCTCTAAAAGCTAGTAGCACTAATTTGGTTACCCCAATTCCCTGAGTGGGATTGGGGGACTATCTCTTAGCATTCACCTACCAAGGCAAATACTTGTGCAGGTGTTTTACTAGCGCATAGTTACTGTTGCCCCCACGCCCCAGCTGAGGCGGTGGCAGGAATCTTCGATTCTTGAAGCCAAGACTCCAAGCCAGCAGGGCATAATTCTGCTGGAGTGACCAGTCTGGCCCGCCACCCTGTATGTGGCTGAAGGAGCCAGCAATCACCAAAGCAGCCCACTGTTTTGGTTTCCTGATTGCTGGATGCCACCAACATGCTTTTGGACCATGGAATTTTGCTTTTGCCCACCCTCACCTCCCTTCTAAAAGCTAGTAGCACTAATTTGGTTACCCCAATTCCCTGAGGGGATTGGGGGACTATCTCCTTAGCATTCACCTACCAAGGCAAATACTTGTGCAGGTGTTTTACTAGCTGCATAGTTACTGTTGCCCCCAGCCCCAGCTGAGGCGGTGGCAGGGAATCTTCGATTCATGCTGTCGATCTACCGTATCGGTACCGTATTGGACTCTGAGTACCGGTATGTAGATGTCTACTGGTAGTTGAATCGAATCTCAATTCCTGGTTTAGTGGCCATGGGAACCGAGCTTGAGTGCATACCCAAAGCCCCATCACTCGAGAAGGATATCCCACATCATCCAAGGTCGTGCCAAAGAAGGATTGAATGATTCGATTGAATCAACCAATCAATCAGTCCTGCAATTCCCACGTGCTACAAAGATGCACGATTATAAAGTTTTGGACGGAAGAAGTTACTTTGGTTAGAGGGGGCTATGGTAAGGATGGGTTTCAGAGAAGGAGGGCAGGATACAAAAGTGCGAGGAGAACAACTGAGTGAGCAGATCAGCAGCAAAACCAAAGAAGGAAAGGGTGGCGAGGGAGGAGGGCAGAGAGGATCATCAAAGGACAACTAGGACTAGCCAAAGAGATCAAGAGCCCCAACCCCTAGCTAGAGATCTTGATAGCAGCAACGCGAGACCCTCAAAGGCACATTGTAGCTGTTCAAGGGAGGCCAATGCTCAACAGAGCAGAAACATACCTGTAGGAGCGAACGAACCACAAAGTACGACTCGGACCACTTGCGAGACCCCGAAATCTCATCTGTTGTACAGTACGGTACACATCGTACCGTACCGGTACAGGCCGGCTTGCATTCACGAGCACAGCAAAATCAGCCTGTACACCTTTAAAAAAAGCTATTTTCCCTTGCTTTAATTTAAAAGACTTCGGTACCGGTACCAGTACGTACTACATGTATTAATAGTACGGGATAAAACGTTCGGATTGAATTGGCCAAAATCCCCCCATCAAGATGATGATGTTTCCTGCTCTTTCCTCTTTACAACGGCTACTCCTTTTGAAGAAGTCGCCGCCATGCATGACAGACTCATCTTGTTTGATTAGGCCGGAAACAGCGACAGCGAGCTTCTTCCGTTCCAGGTCAGATCGATACTTCTTTCGGTCGAGGATGATGGAATGATGACAGCTTCAAGGATCCTCTTGCACGGAGCGACCTCTACTGTAACAGTTAGTTAGACTACGGTAGTTGTTCCTCGACAATACTACGGAACCGTAGCATTGTTGATCTACAGTAAAAGAGGATGCGTGGATTATCCATGCAGACGACCCTATTAGGAAAGAGCAGTACGTGAAAAAAAACTAGCTACCAGGTAGTCTAGTAGACTGACTATGCTAGCTAGCTGTGCCAGAAACCAACAACCACATTCTTTTGAACCCCATGTTTAATAAAAAAGGAACCCCGATTCCATAATGTACCAGCCAACCTTGAGGCGGGCAGGCAGACCAACAGACAGGCATGGCTTGATCCAGCACGGAAGAAAATGCGATAGACTATGATAGCTGGTAGCACAAAACGCGCGCGCAAGAAGGAAAAACTACAATAGCTAGTAGAGGAACGATGGATGGATGAATGGATTGAATCGAATCGAATCGATTCTGCTGGCAAAGGTCCCGCCAATGCAAACCTCGAGGTCGCTCTTCCTCATTTATTTGCAATTGAGTTACTTAGTTTGTACCGTACCGGTATGCTGTACCGTATGTCAAAAAGTATCGTTTGGTTGGGATCGATCGAGCCAGTGCGTGCAGGTTCGGTTGGACAGGACGCCTCACTGTTTGGGTCCATGCATGCACTTATTTATTTGTCACTAACTAAAAGCATTTTTTATTAATACAACAAGGTCTGATTATCCCTGGCTTCCCAATAATTGGGACAATGGTCAATCAATTTGTGGGCGTGAATGACATCGCAATCTTTGCCTCCGACGTGTCCAATGCCAGTGGGACGGGTCTTGTATACATTGGGGAGGAACGCCAATGCGGGCGGTTGTTGGTTGAACAAGTGTCGAAATCCCGACGTGAAATGCAATTCGGCATGAAACTTGGTGGTCCGTTGACGTTTGTATTCGGCCATCATGGCCTTGTAGTCAATGGCAGATGGTCGAAAGGCGTAAAAATCCGTGTGCAAATAGAGGCCACTGCCTTCGGTATCCCATCTCACAAAGACGCCCTTTACGTCAGGAGTTCGCAATTGTTGCAATAACCAGGCATCCCGTCGAATCATGACATCCGGGTTAAGTCGAACGATCCAATCGTAATCGGAAAACCAATTGCGGGGGGTCGTTTCCAAATCCGGCGAAGAAGGATCGACCAAAAAGGGATCGACCATGGCACGGAGAGCACCTTGTTGTTTTTGCATATTCTTGTCATTGGAGAGTTTGGATTCGTCGACAAGTGGATTGATGACTTCTTTGTAGCGGTGGAAAATAACATTACGGAATCCCAATGATTGAAACACCAAGTCATGATCATACGACGACGTGTAGACAATGAGATCGACATTTTGGAAGATGTCTAATCGAGCCATGGCAGCGGGCCAACATTTGATGAGATATTCCAAATGCTGATGACTGACGTGGGTGGTCATGTACACGGCAATGTTGAGTCCGTCAGCTCTTGTAGCTTGTGGAGTGGGCATACTAGTACTAGTAGCAATACTACTAGTACCAGTACTGGTAGATTGCAGTGTTTTTCCAGAGGTAGAAGAAGAAGAAGTGGCTGATGCTTCAATTTCCATGTGTTCCATGACTTGATCCAGAGTATCTCTGACATCCCCCACTGACACCATGGTAGTACTTCCCGTTTCTTCTTCCACTTGATCCAACAGACTCAAAAGTGTCTCCTTCATCAGTTGGACCGTGTACACATCCAAACTACTAGTAGTAGTAGATGTAGCACTACTACTACTAGATGTAGACGCCAATTTTCGTCTTGTTCGTCGTTGGGCTTGGGACAAGATTTCCTTGGTGGATCTTTTGCTAGTACTGATACTGGTACTAGAACCAGTGGTAGTAGACGATAGATACCCGCCCATATAAGAGAGTTCCTTTTGAATACTCGCCAAGACCAAACCACTCAAAAACAAAAAGCTCAAACTTTTCACATTCCATCGGCTACCTCCTCCAACATCCTCCATCGTCTCCTTATTCATCTTTCTTTGCACACTCCTTCTTCTTCTTCCTCTTTCTGGACGATGCCGTACGGTATGGTATGGAGAGACAGACAAAGTGCCGTAGCTTGGGGTAGAGATGGAGATATGGAGATGCTTGGAAAGGAGTGAGTGCTGAATTGTGGCTCTTGGAGTGAGCGAAAAATGTCTCCAAACGGTCTCCAAAGCCGCTCTATGACGCACGCTTGCTCTTTCATAACCAGACAGTGGAGCTGTAAACACATCAATGGATCATGGCAACGCTGCCTAGCTTTCCAAGGATCTGCAGGTCAACAGATAGATGTGCGAGGAAGAAGATACTATGGGATAGCACAAGGAATGGCTGGTTTTAACTTGGTTGCTTGCTTGCGTGCCATGTTGATTCATTCATGGTTGCTAATATATTTCCAGTGGGAGCTGTTGTCTTCAGGAAACATTGCAGATCCCCACAGGAAGCCAGTTTCAAGACCACAACAAACGCACAAAAGGGGGGCTATCATTGGTTTCACCTGTGCTCTCCGAGGATGATGCAACAGTTTGGCATTGGCATCTCTACTTGGGGCCTATTGGCAACACCCACCAAGGCCAAGAGGCACGAGATGCTATATGATTACATTGATGGCCAGGTCTTTTGGCGCTTTTTCAGCTGGCGAAAATCAGGCTTCCAAAGATTCCATTTCGTTTTCAGATGGATTTGCTCCTGTCGATCCTCACTCTCAGCAGCCAGCACTCAATCTGCAGGCACTGTCGAATCGAATCTGGCAGAGGATTGGGTGGTATTGCATGAGAGGCTGGAGCACACATCATCGTGCACATCCCAAGCATCAACGGGTTGGTTGCACGTTCGTTGTTTCCAGTTGTTTTGGAATCGAATCGAATCGAATCGCTCGATGCATCGAGGTACCGTAGTTGAATGGGCGACCCCCAAGGATTCCCCTACTGCTGGTTCTACACCAACCAAGCTGGGGACCTTGCTTCTGTTGTCGGGGACGCACTGGATAAGGCCGTAGCGACGAGTACTGTAGCTTTAGCATGTAATCCACGAGAGTCTGTGGGTACAGTGCGGCACCAGACAAGTGTGCATTCTCATCATTGCGATAGGGGACAAGACGTCCAATAGTCGGTACAGAATGGGTGGAGACGGGTGTTCCGTGGCATTGTACCGTACCAGGACGTTTCGACATTCATTCATCTATCTATCCATCCATCGTTGCTCTGCCATCCAATGGGCATGCTCGGATGCACGTCATGGCTTGTCCTAGATTGAAAAGATTCCTAGTACCTAGAGTGCTGGAAGTAAAAATGCAAATATCTGGCCAGCAAACTTATTTTAAAAGATGGCCGCCAGGTTTGGCTGCCACCATGGTTGTTTGTCACGAACTTGGTGAATGGGTACAGTACAGTACCGTACCCTACGTAATGACTTTGATCGAGTGCATAGATCAACTTGTTGACACTTTTGAGTTTCTTCTTGGAATACATGTACTTGGAACTTGGAAAAAGGTGGCCTGGCTGATTCATCGCCGTTTGGAGCCACATGGTGTTTCCGTGTCTTCTTTTTATTCTTCGCCATCCGATTCGATTCATCCGTCTTTTCACGTCCAATCTGCTCCTGGAGACGACGATTCTCCTTTTCTAGTAGCTCATTCAGCGTTAGGAGACAATCGTGACATTGCAATGGCGGCGAGGGCTTTACTCACCGCCATTGGTGTCCGTCGCGGCCGTGCGAGATTCATCGAACTGTGGAGTGCGAGATTGCCGAGGCTGCGTCCCTTGAGTTGCTTGTGGTTGGACCATCCCTTGATTCGTAAGATACTCAACAATTTTGTCCACGCTGTTGAGTGCTCTGTTGGTGGATGCCGCATTTTGTTTGATGGCTTCCACCACAATTAGTTCCGCGTCGATCTTCGTGATTTCCTTGATTTCTTTCAAAGCAGATACTAGTACCAATACATTTTGAGTAGCTTGTTCTCCCAGGGGAGAGGGCGCTGCTTGAAAATGTGGTTGTACCGGTACCTGGTGGTGTTGCATAGGGCTTGCTCGTCCCCAAGAACTAGAAAGGCCAACAATCTCCTTCACAGCATTGGCCGTGTTCTTGGACATGTTCTGGTAAATGTTCTCGATGTTCTGGCCTAGGGCCTGTACGACCTTGGCTAGTTCCCCTAGGGCATTGGCTTGTTCCCCTAGGGCATCGACTTCGCGATTCTGCATGGCACTGATTTCTTGCATGGCAACTACCGATGGAGAGGGCGCTGCTTGGAAATGTGGTTGTAGCTGGTGGTGGCGCAAAGGGTTTGCCTGTCCCCAAGAACGATGTACAGAACCACAATTGTGCAAAGGCGGTGCTCTGTGACGCGATCCGGGTCCCGGTGCCGCTGCACCTATAGAAGAACAAAACGAAGACGAAGAAGCGCGTGTTAGGAGACTCTTGTGGCAGTGCAACGGTGCAGAGAGCGCTCTAGTACTCACCGCCATTGGAGACACCACCGCCACCACCGCCCATTTGCTCGGTCGCGTGATCAACGGCGCGATTCGCGTTGTTGTGCCGAGGGGGGCGCCCGGCACCCTCGAGGCCCACGCCCTGGAGCTCCGTGGCGAACTGTCCTGGCATCCTCAAGTTCGGGATACCTTGCCCTTGGTGGCCACGATCTTGGAGCCCCGTCGCCATGCCCGGCAGCATGCTGGGCTGTTGTGGCACGGGCTGTCGTGGCAACGCGGCATGATTGGGATTCACATTCTGGTCGCGAGCCCCTTCCGGTGTTTCCACCCTCTGTTGCGTAGAAAAGAAAGCGTTGCGTGCTTTGCCTAGACTACCCCACCACATCTTCTGCTCATCATTGAGCTTGGAGATGAATTTGAAGAGAGCAGAATTGGGATCCAACGAGTCTTGCTCCTTGCCAATGTACTCATCGGCCAGACCATTGAAGTAAGCTTGGGGACTCGTGTTGATGCTGGGATCAAAGTCGGTGCTGAGATCCGCTGCAAAAGTGTTCTTCAGCGCAGTGAAGTCTGACTTTCTTTCTTCGGCGTTCATCTTGAATGTCGTCAACTGCTGGAGAGGATGAAAAAAAACCAAAGGAAAGAACTGCTCCGAACCCCCTCTTTCAAATAACAATCCCTTCGGGATTGCCCTCGGTCGCCTTCTCCTTCTGCTGCTCATCATCCATGGTCAAGTGGTTGGTTGTTGGCTATCTCTCAGTCCGGATGGACTGGGGGAGAGCCTCACAACGCTTGAGCTGAGCATGACCCAGAAGGAGATCTGAAGTCAAGGTCAGGATTGAAACCTGAACCTGGACTGAAAAGCTTCTTCTGACCACCACACAAAGCACCACACAAGTGGAGTGACCCCTGAAGGCGAAGGATGCCATGAGGAGAGGAGATGGTGATGGAAGAGATGGGAGAAGAAGAGGGAAGAAAAGTGGGGAGGAAATGTCGAGTTGGGCCGGTAGTGGATGGAGCAGGAAAGATGCTGGGATTGCTCGATGATTTAAGGAAATCGTGGGAGTGATTGGCGTATCGTGGGGAATCGATTTTTTGTCGGAGTGAATGACACAGAGAGGGTCAACCGTGGAATCTGTCACGATTGTGGAGTGGTGGAGTCAAAGAGAAGCACTCGATAAAAGGTCACAAATTTGGTGAATGTCAAGGTAAGTAGGTAGAGAGTCGAATTTGTTTTTGGACTGTTTTGATTCTCACTGATTATGTTTATTGTTTCCAAAATTGGTTTAGGTGGAAGAGAAAGTGTGTCGAAGTATACAACAATGGCTGGTTCGGACAATGAAGGTGGGGAAGGAGGATCTCCCCGAGGACGATCGGGTAAGGAGAGAGCAACCGATGTGCTTGCTCGAACTCAGAAGTTTGTGATCCTGTCGACGGCTCAGGGGTGTGATGTGTCGGAACAGGAGATTGAGGTGTGGACGCCGAAGTTTATGAGCGAGATGAATCCGGAGGTGATGGCTGGGATGGAGGAGGCCAATCGGTTGCGAGCGGTGTTTGGTGGTGGTGCTCCGATGATGACGCCGGAAGGGATGTGGTCGGACCACTTGGAGGCGGCGGATTCGGGGTTGGCCCCCGGAGTTTGGCAGGTGATGGCTCGCAACAATTTTTGGTGAGGAGTGGTGGAGGACGGGCCATTGACGCCATGGGACACCTTCCGTCCTAATGTGATGGGCATGGTGGCGGAGGATCTGCGCGAGGCTATGGCCGCGCATAACCATGATGCCAACATGAAGCGCTTTATCAAGATTCGGAAGAAGGATGCAGCGCAGGAGGTTGCGGTGGCTGTGGTGACGCAGGGCTTGGCTGATGTGACTGCTGGACGAGTGGAGGGTGGTCGTATTTTCGATCAGATGAAGGCGGCGTATGGTGAACGCAAACGAGAGCGTGATGACGCTATCATGGAGCATGCGGTGCGTATTCGGTCTGGCGAGGAAGTTTGGGCGAGTGACAGCGAGGGAGCAGCGGAGCCATGGGACACTGCTGTGTTGCCCTGAATGGTGGCTGTGGGCGCTGCGCTGAATGGAAGTGTGGCGTCCGGCGAAGCTGATATGGGAGAATATAGCTGCGTGGGCGTGGTCGATGAAGAAGGTATCGGGACCCTGCGGTTACTCGCGATGGGAGGCATTGCGAAGAGAGCTTATTCAATTGGAAAGAAAAAGAGGTGTGAAGACCATTGCGGCGATGTATTGATGCCGGTACAGGAATTGGCATGATGTTGGCGATTCCGAGTGGAATGGCTGGCTGGAAAGAAAACATTCGTGGATAGTGACGTAGCTTATAACCCGTATTAGGGGTCGCGCGTTAATATCCAGAAATGTAGATATGCCGGCTTGTTTTGTATAAGCCTGATCAATCTGGCGAAGGATCGCTGGAACTTGCGAGCATGAGTGGTGTCATAACTTTGGACTATGACGCGGTCAGAAGATGATTTACAAGATTTGTGCCGGCTGATGCGGGCGATGCTAGTGCAAGTGGAATTGGTGTTGGAACAGGTAGATGGAGCCGATGATGTGACTGGGACCACTGCATCATGTGAAAGTGGTGATCGGATGGAGAACGAAAGTGATGACGAGAGTGAGCTTCGGGTAGGAAGTCGCGTGGAAGTGATAGTGGCTGACCAGTATGAAGGGAGAACTGGGAGGGTGACAAAGCGTCGAGGAACCACGCAGTGGTATGTGCGATTGGATCGCAGAGGTGGAGAGTTATGAGGACCGAAAGTGTACAAGTGTGAGAGTAGTTTGAAGCTATTGAAGTAGCTGGAGAGTGAAAAAAAATTTAGTTTATGAGGAGAGCGCCGCGGAACGTGGCTACTGTGAAGTCTTCCACCATGGTGTCGGTCTCACGTAAATAGTGATCGACACTCTCGGGTTTCCATCGAAGGCGAGCAGCGATAGCTGGAATGTCGAGGCTCATGGCACGAAGCACTAGAGCTGCGAAAACCCGGTTGGAGTGAGTGACGATGGCTGTAATGTGTTTATGGTAGAAGTGATTGGGATCAGGACAGGCATCGATGCAGGCTCGACGCATGATTTTTTTGATGTCGTCATCCTTGAGGAAGGTGTAGCCGCGAGGGTCGGTGTTGGTTGCTAGTAACACTCTAGCTTAGTAAAGGTCAAAAGGGTTTTACTGTTAAGCTATTTCCAGAAGCGATCTTTCTCCATGTTTTCTGGGATTGATTCAGCTTCAAAGGATATAGTGAAGGGGGTGACCATATAGATCAGTTAAACTCCCCATGTATGTAACTAGAGGATAGATATAGATATCCCCGCTAAACTAGATTGGGATAAACGAACAATTTGTATTGAGGTGTCTGTAATACAACCTCCAACACACTCCTGCACGGTTCCATAAAGGATACCGTGGAACGAATAATTAATGTAATGATGGTTGCTCCATAAGGAACAGTTGTTGGTCGAGAGAGACCACTTGCTAGGTTGCTCGGCATTCCGCTTGGTGGCGAGAAGCTTGTCATCCATAGCAGTGCTGACAAATCTGTCACAGTCAATGTGGACATGTGGACAGTGTCGTCATGAAAAGCCACTGTGGCTACCACTCCTGTGAGTGTTGCCACTCCTGTATGACTTGCTGTGGCAGTTGGTGCCGCCACTTGATGTTGCTGTATTCGAAACTGGGAAGTTCCGATTACTTGTTGAACCGTGGACTGGGAAGTTCCGGTCACTTGGTATTGCTGTAGCTGGAAACTAGGAAGTTCCGGCTGCATTCTTGTAGACTTGTAAGGTGCTTTTGACTGGCTGTGTGAACTGAGCTGGACATCGGTATGTCATGGTCTCAATTGCCAATGATGTGTGGAAACATCAATCCATTCAGGCTTGATACTGGATTTGGAAATCAGGAGAGCATGAGTCTCTGCAATAGCATGGTAGCTATCTGGAGTCAGCTTGTTGTCCATTGGAATGGAACGTGAGCTGTCTCTACTTGTTGGATTAGTCGGCTGTTACCTTTTCTGAGGATTGGAATCCTCTGCTTCCTTCCTGGGGAATCTTCCTTCATCACGGCATCCTCTACCTTGGAATCGAATGGCTGTGATTTGATGTACATGATGTGTACTTGCTTGATGTGGATCTTGGTTTACACCTCTTGTGGATGCGTGCTAGCAACTTGTGGTGTTCCGTCGAACTGTTGCGTGCATGAGCTGGTTCCTGGTGGAACTGTTCCTGTGGAACTGTGGGAATCCTCTGCAGAAGATATCCCGGTAGCACTGGTGTGTGGCTACCCTTGCTTGAGTAAGCTTGCTCTGCCTCGATAGGCTTTCCGGTCACACTTGCGATCTCTTGGTCGCTGCTTGGGATTCGATCTGGATTGATCGAGCCTGATTCGATCTGGATGTGATCGAGTCATTCGGAAAATTGGAAAAGGTGTCAGACTTTGGTTTTGGTGGGTATCAATTTCATCAATACCACTCCTGCTGTCACTGGTGGCACACTCCTGTGAGCTAGCTGTGGCAGGACTTGTACTTGTTGTAGCCAAAGCTGGCTTGGTTGGTTTGGACATTGGATGCAACTTGGGGTTGCTATGGAGCTTGAGGTGGTTCCTCTAAGATTCCTGAGAATCGATAGGACTCAATGTGTCTATCTGTGCTTGGGTAAGCAGGCTCCTGCCTTGGAAAGGCTTTGTAATCCAGTCTCACGTCGTCGTGTCACTGGCTTGCAATGAGTCCAAAACAAACCTTGGAAGTGGTTGCTCGGCATCCCGCTTGGTAACGAGAAGCTGAGCGGTGGAGACGAGACAATACGGACATTGTCATCATCGAAAAAGTCTTTGTGGCTGGCACTCCTTCTGAGAGTGGTGCCACTCCTGGAAGACTGGTGTCAGATGATACCGTCACTTGGTGTACCTGCGGCTCGGACTGGGAAGTCCGGCTGCATTGACACTTGATGGGGCTGGAAGCCCTTCGTAGATGGAAGCTGGTTGAAGCTTCTGGAAGTCGTAGACTTGTGGGAAGTGATGCCCTATTGGAATGTGCATGGAAGCTGGAAATGATGTAGCTTGGAAGTCACGGACTTGTTGGGTTCGACTAAACCTAGTTCTTGGATGGTCTCGATGTCTGAAGATGGAATGAGGAAAAGGTTGAGTTATTGTTTCCTCTTGTCATGGTTGTTTATACTCATGTGAGACTCGTGACTGCTGGTGTCATCACTTGTGGTGACTGGTGCCGTCACTTGGTACACTTGGTACCGTCATTTGGTGTTGCCGTAGCTGAGACTGGGAAGTCAGGCTATAGCGACACTTGGGAGAACTGTTGTAGTAGCCAGAACTAGGAGGAAGCTCCTTGCCACAATGATACTTTGAGTTGGGGCTGGAAGCCCTTGGAAGTTTGGAAACTTGTAAGGAAGTATTCGGTAGTAGTTGTGGATGCTCCAACTTGATGGGCTCCACTGGACCTGGACGTGCGGTCGATGATGGTTCGATGGTGATGTAGTCGGTAGATCCTTTGGTTGGTGATGTCACTGCTCTTACACTCCTGTGAGATGGCTGTGGCAGGACTTGTAGTTGTCCGTAGTTGTATCTATGGTT